TGAGGGCAGCAGTGAACACAAGCTCCCAGGGTTGGCAAAGGCTAACGAGGAAGCTCAATTTTCAAGGAAATAATAAAATATTACTGGTCACATGGTATTAATCAGTTCAACAAATAGTCATCTGGCACCTACTTGTGCCCCAAGCTGTGCTAAGTGCTGTGGCTACAAAGATGATGAAGGTGCACTTGACCCCTGAGTTCACGGCTGAGTTACAAGTTAGCAGCACAGGATCCTGTTGGAACCTCTGATCTAGATGAGCTTGTGCACCTCGTTTCCGCCTTTCTCTCATCACAGCCGCTCTGCTTTTCCTGCTGAGATGCTATTTTGTGTCTGAAGCCAGAGGCAGGGATGCTCTATCCCACGTGAGGAAGGCATCCAGACCCTGATCAAGTGGAACGATGAGAGTGGAGCTGCCCCGTCCAGGTAGTGAACTCAGTGCTTGTGTTTCATGTCGATGCGAGTTAGGCGTGGCCGTACTGTTCTCACTCACTGTCCTTTCTCATTTCACCATATCACCATATTTGAGTAGCAAATGGGAAAGAAAGTCCTGTGAAAATTGTCCAACCCCACTAAATTGATTTATTGTTTTAGGGCATTGGTTCTCAACTAGGGGCGATTTTGCCCCCCCATTCCCCCCTGTCCCCAGGGGACAGTGGGCAGTGTGGAGGCATTTTGGTGGTCACAACTCAACTGGGAGTGCAGTGGGGGCATGATGCTTTTGGCGTCTGGCGGGTAGAAGGCGGGGAGGCTGCTGAACATCCTACCGGACACAGGACAGTCCCCACAACAGAAAAGTCACTGGCCCTAGTGTCAGCAGTGCCAAGGCTGAGAAACCTTGTTTAGGAAAAGTGACTTTTGCCAGGTGGAGTTTCTCTAAACGGAAAACATGCTATGCTCCCTAATTAAGTGAGCCCACACTGGCTTCTTGGCCGTGGTGTGGGGTGAAGTAAGGCAGAACCCACTCATGCAGCCTCTCCAGCAGAGGTGGAGCAGAGAGCCCACTGGCCCTGCAGGGACAACCCTGGGCCTTTGTCACAGTGGGCGAGTCATTTCTGCGCATCCTCAGCTGTGAGCGAGGGAGGATGAAACCAGCCTCACAAGTCGGTTATGGGTCAAGGAAGACGAAGCCCATGACAGCACCTCACAAGCCTCCAACACAAGGTGGAATCAGCCAGCGACTGCTGGGTTTTCACACCTGCTGCTTCTGATCCTGGCCCTGCCTTGGCTCCATCGCCCTTGTCAGCAGCTGGGCCGTGAGATACAAGCGCTGAGCGCTCCTGTCTGTCTTCACTTCACTCTGACCTAAGGCTGCTTGATCCAAAAGACGAAAGCCAAGAAATGTCAAAAGGGAACACTGTCTTTTGCGCAGAAGATTCAGGTTGCCTCATCTGCTGTTGTCTGAGACCTCTACCCTCGGTTTTCTCCTGGAAGGAAGAGACTTAGTGAGATGATTTTGGGAAAAGAGAGTCCAGTTAACTTTGGTCCCTGGCTCGGATAAATAGGGAGATATTCTAAAAGATGATTGGTGGTTGGAGAAGCTGGTGGTTGACCAAGACTCCTAGGGTTCTTCCCACATTTTCTCTCCTCTGTTGGCACAAAGGAAGGGGAAGTAAGAGCTTTGGACCACGTTGAGGGTGCACACACCTGTAAGTCCGTGTCTGTGCAGGCCTGCGTCCAGCCCTCCCTGTCGTGGGGACAGGAAGGCAGAGGCGTGGTCCGAACTACCTAGATAGTTGGGTTCCCAGAAGGAATGCCCCTTGCCCCCAGCTATGAGAATAGCAGCTACCTGTTTTGATTTGTTTGTGTAATTTTAAGAAGGAAACCGTCCTGACGAACAACAGTGCTTTGTGGGACAGATAGAATTCCCTGCCTCAGGCAATTCTACTCTGCTCTGATGCTCCACCATCCAGGAAAATGGAAAGAGCTCCTGAGCCAAGGGGCTGTGCTTAGCCTCCCACTTGGTGGGTGGAGCTGAGGCTGCCTGGCTGGAAGGAGGCCAGTGGGGAGGGCGTCTCCCCAGGCACTGGCTGAGGGCACTGCCAAGGTGGGAGAGGAGCTGGTAATGCCTGTTCTTGTTGGCCAGCTGCTTAGTGGTTGTCTTTTGGGGAAGGAGGAGCAGCTACAGAAGCAGAGTGTGTGGAAGGGAAGCTTGGTCATTGCAGGGCTAGGCCGGCAGGTTGGAGGGGGTCTGGTGGCACTGACCAAGGGCCAGCTATCAGAGGCACAAGAGCACCCAATCCGGGACAAGGGGCCTCTAGCTCATCTTGTCCCAGAAGATGTCCTTCCTCTCATCTGCTACTCACAGCCCAGGACACACCCCCGTTCCTGCCACAGTATCTTAGGGCTCTGAGAACGGGGATCCAACAAACCTGGGTTTCGGTTCCCAAACTGTGTCTTATCAGATACAGAATCTAACCAATCCTCGACTTTCATATATAAAGTGAGATCAATGATGTTCTTTTTCTCTCAAGCTTATTGGACAGTTTAGTCAAATAGCACATGTAAATTAGTAATTACTGGTACATAGTAAACAGTGGCTGCTACTACTAGTATTATTAACAGTAATTACCAATTATGTCTTTGTAGCCATTGGTAAATAAGGCTACCCCAAAGTGTCCACGCTTCTCCGTTACCCATCTCCATTAGCCTGAATATACCAGCCTGCATTCACACACCGGGGACATTGTACACTCCTGGGAAGACTCCTTCATCCCGGATGCCATCACTGATTCCACCCACCTTGTCCTATTCTGCCGCTGGACACCCCCAATCAAGAGGGTCTGCAAGATAGCATAGGGGCCTGCCCTCTCTGTGGTGGAAGCTGGTGAGCTCTTACAGAATGAAATCCAGCACCCATCAGCTTTTGAGTCCCTCAGTGAATATTGGTTGAATGAGAAATGGATAAGGCTGCACACAGCACTGCCCAACCGTGGTGACCCCAAGAGCCTTCACTGTGAGTCTTAGAAGAGGATGAGTACAGGCTTTTAGATGCTGAGGCCCTAGTGAAACAAGGCTTTTGGTTTTGTTGGTTGGTTTTTGTTTTTACCATCACTTTACATGAAACACTAAACAACAAGAAACTCCACTTCCTAACCAGCAATTACAAAAGCATCCCCTCCCCAAGTATGTCCTCTTGCTTTATAGGGCAGGTGTATTTTGCAGAGTCTGGATGCTTTCTGTGATGGCGTAGAATAACGCATCTGGGGGAGATGATACTCCTTGCTCTCTGCATTTATTACCGCCATCTGTAATTTCAGCTCCTGTCATATTTCTTTCCCTGTGCCCCACAGGAAAGGTCATACGTCAGGGATCAGATGTCAGCCCTGTCCATCAACACAGCCGAGGCAGGCGCCAAGCTGGGAGCTAAGGTAAGTGTGGGTCATTTGCTGCTTGGGTTGAAACAGAGCGGGGGCTTTGCTGATGGTCCCCCTGGTTGGGGACACCCTGGCTGCTCCCCCAGTCCCCAACCCAGAATGATGCCCTGCAGGCCTGATCCATACCTGCCTCCACCCCGGCCCCACCTGCAAAGGCCCTGCAATTCTGCTCAAGCTCACATGCCTTCGCCTCCCAGCTCAGGTGTCAGATGACTCAGGGCCCACATTCCAGTCCGTCCAGTGCTACCATTACGACTTTTTGCCACATGCAGATGCCACTTGCACTAGTGTATTAAAAACTTTTTTTTCTTTAAATGGACTTGCATACCAATGAGATACACTTCTTTAAATAGGAAATGTTATATTTCAACTGTAAATGAAAAATCAGTTTTGCTTGTATAAAGAGCAGGTAAGTGGGGCACAGACACAATAGAAATAGAACCCAGTAATTCCAGGTAGAAAAGGTGGAAGGAGACAGAGAGCCAAGCCAGGCTGGCACCCGATGGACACTTTCTCCTTGTTGTCATTAGGAGTATGGAAGAGGAATTAGAAAGGGACTAATTTTCTTGCTGTGCAATTCAATGTCATTGAAAACCCTGTTCCCGAACTGGCTGAACCTTCCCTTCTCAAAGAGGACGATGATCCCACTTTGAAAAAGAGCGAGTTGACCCAGGGCTGCCGTCATTTATTGGGCAGGTGCCTGGCTGGGGTGAGCAGGTCCAGGTCCAGAGGGCATCTGCCCACCAGTCCATGCTCCCAGGGGAAGGGAGTGCGGAGACTCCTGCAGGGCTGGCGGGGGCCTCTCTTTCCTTAATTGGTCTGTAAGCTTCCGGAGGCCAGAGCATTGCTCCTGGTAAGCACACTAAGAGCTCTGATCCACTGACCGTGCCCTGGGGTTTGCACTCTACAAGCATAATCCCACTGCATTTTCACCAGACCCGTGCAGGAGGGTATCTTGCTGCCCCATCTGCAGGGGAGGACACCGAGGCCTGTGGCTTCTATTTCTTGGAGTGTCTCTGGGTTCCTTTTATGATGTCCTGCAAATAGTAAGTGCACCTGTGGTGGCTAGTTGAGTCGACAGCCATTCACATACTTTCCCTAAGTGAAGTTGTCACTTATGATTTATCAGATAACCTGATATTTTAAAATCTGTGACAAGACATGAACTATCTTAAAACTGTTGCTAAGGACCATTGCCTGCTTTATTTTCTTTGAAATTTTATTGCATGATTGAAGGGCTTATATTAAAATAATAGAAACCCAAAGCAAAAATTGTTCACACTCCTATCCCTAAATCTAAGCAATTTCATTTGTCTGTGTTACCTTCTAGATCTTGTCCGTGGGCATATTCAATTGTCAGGTGTCTATAACGTCATCAGTAGAATGTTAGAATCTACGTCTTCAGGTCACATTGGGGCATGCAGTTCCATTTCACTATAGTCCCTTTTCCTTGCTTCTCTCCACCTTTCCTTTTCTACTCCCACTCCACCACCTCCCCCATCACAATGCCAGTTTTATTTGCATATGAGTATCTGAGCAGGGAAAGCTGTGCCTTCGTTTTCAACTGGAGGGAGACGTGTTGTCTTTGGAGTTTCCCCCAGCGTTTTCCCCCAGGATTTAGGCAAAATGCTGCCAACTTCGCCAAGTGCATCAGACCAAGTCCGCTTTGTGCTGGGGACTCTGGTGAGTTCCACAAGCTCACTCCCTCCTGCTGGGACTTCACTGATGACTGACAGCTGGTTCCCTTGAGAGGCGGCCCTTCTACAAGATTCTGTGATATGGGTAGAGCAAACACATAGTCAGTGAAAACCTTCTCATCTGTCTACCTAGTTATTGTGATCGTTGGTTGTTCCTGGGTTGTTATTTGATAATGCAGATCAAATATGACACTTCTCAGAATAGCCACAGGTAGATACATTTCCCTGTGTCCATCTCTTATAGAGATCATCTGTAAGATCAAGAGCAGTGGCCTTGGCCCTGGGCAGATTCCAGCCCAGTGATTCCATACCTCCTGCCAAATTGAACCCCGACTCGCCTTTATACACTCCATGTAAAAATTCTACAACTACGGCTTTGCTTTTTAGCATGACTTTTCAGACTCACAAGAAGTTGTAAAAATAGTTCAGAGAGTTTCTGTGTACCTTTCACACAGCTCCCCCCAAGAATAACACTGTATATAACCATAGTATGCTTTCAAAACCAGAAAACTGACTGTGGTACAACACTATTAACACAGGTCTCAAACACAGACCTTATTTGGACTTCACTAGTATAACTAGATATTATTTTAACAAAAAATGTACTTTTCTGACAAGAACTAAATGAGGTTCTCAAGGTCCAAAGAGCCACAGTTTTTATGATGGAAACTTCTAAAAAATAATTCAAGATCTCTATAATTCATTATCTTTGCTCAGGCTGAGTTTGCACCAAGATTAAAAATGTGCTCTTCTTTTTTGCACAAACATGGTGCCATGAATACTTGAAAGGGCTTGTGTATGATAGATGTGTCCCTCTGGTCCGGGAAGGGCCAGCTTCACAAGCGTGGAACCCGGTCAGTCCCACAGGGCCCTGTGCTCAGAAAGGCCCTGTGCTTGGTTAATGCTCTACTGTCACCATCTTGAAATTCTTCATATCTGGACAAGGGGCTCACATTTTTATTTTGCACCGGGTGCTGCAAATTATGTAGCCAGTCCTGAGTCTTAGGGGTTGCGTACATCTCATTCACAGATTTTGAGGCCATGTTCATGGCACAAAATGAGCCTTATGGGGATTTTGCGGACCCAAGATGGGGCTTGAAAATCATATATTCTCATGCTCCATCCCCACAAAGCAACTATAAAACTCACGCATGGATTTCAGCTATGAACACCTACACAGCTATCGTTAGAATTATTATACCTTTAGTGCAAAAGCAAAAGGCAATATGATTACAAGAATTTCTGGCTAATATGTGTTTGTATCCTCGGGTAATTTATATGAAACCAATAAACACTTCATTCTCTTTACCTGAATTAATTAATTTTTCATTTTTAAAAAAATTTAAGGGTCGTGGCATGTTTTTTGATCCAAGAAGTGTGAGAAACAAATACCCTCCTCCTGTAAGTACAGATGAAGATGTTATCATGAAAAGAGTTACCTTACTGTCCTGATAACCATGGGAAGCCCTGAAAATGGGAAACTGGGAAGGGAGGAGGTGAGAAAAAACATACCCAACCAACATCCAAATAAGCCAAAAGAAGTGAATGTGGGAAACAGATGAGAAGTAAATAAAGTACCTACATCTAGACTTGAGAGCATCAGAGGTTTTCGGTCCCTGGCAAATTTCTTTTGCTGCTGAGAAGCCAAGAGCTTGGCGAAGGCCTGAATATCCTTTTGCTTTGATTCTTTACAGATTTATAGAAGTGTTGAGCTGAGGGGGCCATAGAAGCCATCTAGTCCATCTTCTTCCTAAACCTTACTAGCAGCAGAATCCTTCCTTACAAATGAGATCTTACAAAGAATGCCATTATGAATAAAACAGAAAAGAGCTGTTTTTTATTAGTACCAATTTTAGTACATTAACGTTTATAACATATACATATTTTTACCAAAGCAACAAATAAAAATAGTGATTCGGGGCTTCCCTGGTGGCGCAGCGATTGAGAGTCCGCCTGCCGATGCAGGGGACACGGGTTCGTGCTCGGGTCCGGGAAGATCCCACGTGCCGCGGAGCGGCTGGGCCCGTGAGCCATGGCCGCTGAGCAGGCGTGTCCGGAGCCTGTGCTCCGCAGCGGGAGAGGCCACGACAGTGAGAGGCCCGCATACCGCAGGAAAAAAGAAAAAATAGTGATTCGGTTGAAAACAACAACAAAAAAGAAGGTAGGTATTGTGGAGGAAGTTTGCAAAATTTTACCTTTAGCACCTAATTCATTGCCTCCCATTGTGGAAATTAGTTCTTAAAGTATCAAGAAAATTTCAATTCATGCCAACAAGCAGTTTCAAATATTTTTTAGGGAGCTCAATTTATCATATCAGGTTCTCTTTGATTCAGCAAACAAGAGACAAAAAGCATCATTCAAGTTTCATAAAAGCAAATTATAAAATTTTTGCTTTTATTAACATGTTGGGGGGACTCAGTTTAAAAGATGTAAACCCTTCTCCATTATATTAGAAAAATAACATTAAGTATTATTATTAAAATAATTTTCCCTGAAATGAAATTCAAATACTCTTGTATCTTTGAGATATCTTTGAGAACTCATAGGTCCTGGGGACACAGCTGAAGCCAGGGTCTCAGTGCAGAGAGGCCGGGTGAAGGGAAATGGTGCTGTAGGCCAGAGTGGACACACACGGGGCAAAATGCAGCAAAATGCAGCATGGGGTAGGACCTAAAATTGGCTCAAGGCAAAATCAACCCCGAGTTTGGAGACTGGTGCAGCCTCTTCCACTGCCCGGGAAGGACCGTGGTGTCTGACCCGTGAGCACATTGGCAGAAGGGCCTATGTCTCTGGGATCGTCCTCTTAGAGGCCCACGGGAGCCAGAGGGTGGCCAACTGAGGGCACAGCATCTCTGGGCAGCAGGTCCCCAGGGCTGTTTGTAGGGGTCACCCCTTGCTCTCTCTTTGGCTAAGTGTGTTTAGTTCAATTCACGATGGTGTGGTGTGCTGCGTTTATGTATATAGATAGATATGTGTACAGATAGGGGTGTGTGTGTGTGTGTGTGTGTGTGTGGTGTGTGTGTGTGTGTGTGTGTGTGTGTGTGTGTGTATCCTCATGGACATGTAAAATTATTCCAAGCTTTACAATTTTTTTACATACATCTTCTGGAGTGCACTAAGTACCCCTAAACCCAGGGGTTATCAGAAGTCGCTTCAGCCATAAAGCCATCAGTGTTTTAGAAACACAAATTGTATCATGCCACTCTCCAGTTTAAACCTTCCCAGCGGCTGGCCATCGCCCTGTGATAATCTGCAGCCCTGAGGCCTAAGGCCGTGTGGTGGCCTCTGTCCTCCGCCTGCAGGTCTGAGCTCCCTCCAGCCTCTAGGCCGCTGCTGGCCCTTCCTTCTCCCTGGCCCCTCTGCTCCTGTCTCCTGGTCCTTCTGAGAGGTCCCCAGGCTCAGGCTGGGTGAGGTCTCTGTTGCACCTTCCACGGTCATCACTGTGTTTCTCTCACCCTGGGTGCTGGCCCCGTGCCTGCATGAGCCCAAGAGTGAGGCTGCCTCGCCTTACCCTGTGCGGGCCTGACTTACATGATGCAGTTGGGGAATCTGTGGGTTCCCAGGCAGCCCCCACATGGTGCACGCTGTGTCCATCTCCTCACTGCTCTAGCCCACTCCTCAGCCAGTACCCCAAGACCCAGGTCCATGAGCACTTGCCCAGTGAATGAGTGGAGGGCGGTACACCCACTACCACACATGAGGTGCGGCTGACCCAGCAAGGACAGGAAGAGGAGAAATTAGAGCCTGGGGAAGAGCCATGCGGTCGGGGGAGCAGGAAGTGGGATGAGGTTCCCTGTGGGAATCAACTGTTTGCTAAATCTCGTTTGTGGAATGGTCCCAAACCCCACTGGCCAGGCTTGCTCAGCTCACTTCTTCCCTAGAAGCCAAGGCGTTGAAGGGTCTATTAGTCAAAACTGGCAGGGCCTGCCCTCTCTCCCACCACACATGTAGGTGACATCTGAGCAAACTGCCCTTGGCCCGCTGTCCCTCAAGGAGAGCTCTGACAGCCCTCTGCCCAGTGGTGGCCCCCTGTCTGCTGGCCAGAAGAGGCCATCAACTTGGGGGGAGCTGTGAGTCCTTGGTGGTGTTAGGACTCTGCTTCTTTGCTTTGTAGGTTTACCTGGATACTGTGGTGCCCAGAGGACCCCTGGAAGTGAGGGTACGAGTGATGGCAGGGATGCTGAGTCAGGTAGGAAGGCCTCTCCTTGTTGGTGAATGGGTTCTGCTTCCCCATCTGGCCCCACACTGACCTGGGGCCACTTCCTCCTAATCACTGTGTCAGTCAGCTTGGCTGCATAACAAAATACCACAGACATGCAGCTTAAACAGCAGACTATTTTTCTCACAGTTCTGGAAGCTGGAGGTCTGAGATCAGGGCACCATCATGGTCAAGTTCTGGTGAGAGCTGTCCTCCTGGTTCACAGACGATCACTGTCATGCTGTGTCCTTATGTGGCAGAGAGAGAGAGAGAGAGAGAGAGAGAGAGAGAGAGAGCAAGTTCTCGGGTTTCTCTTATAAGGACTCTATTCCCGTCGTGAGGGCCCCACCCTCATGACCTCATGTAACCTTAATTACCACCCAAAGGCCACACCTCCAAATGTCATCACATTGGGGGTTAGGGCTTCAACACAGGAGTTTGGGGGGACACAATTCAGTCCATAGCAAGTGCTTTCATGGGAATCCTCATTCTAGGGGCATTTCTGCAGATCAGCACAGCCTCCGACAACAGTGAATGGTCTCTTTCTGTGAAATTATGAAAGATGTGGGTTGACTGTGCTGGAGGGAATTATTGGACAATAACATTGTCTCTCCTGGAAGGTTCCTCAACACAGCCACCCTCTATTCTTGGGCAAATTAAACAGTGATTTGGGAGTTGGGGCAAACGCATGGGTAGTTTAAATGGAAGGGGCTGGAGCAGGTGCTGTGGAGAGACGCTCTCTGCGTGTGCCTGCCCCCAACACACGCAGGGAGGGACGCACACAGCAGCTTCAGGTGCTGCTTCCGACCCTAAGGAGCCCCATACGTTGCAGGAAAGTTGGGGCTCAGACCTGTGAAATAATAAGTGCAAAGGAATAGATCAATGCTTGGTGGGCGTCGTCTGCCAAGAGTTACTTTACTTGGCAAAGCCGTGGATGATAATCACTGCGTACCAGGCCCTGTCCTAAGGAATCAAAAGGTATTAACTCAGTTCTTGCATCAGCCCACCAGGGCAGGTTCTATTATTTTCCTTATTATAAAATGAGGAAACTCAGGGACAAAGAAATTAGGTACCTCATTCAGGACCAGTCTGTAGAAACGTCTGCGATAGTGGGGACAAGGCTCTGCCCACCATGGCACTTACCTTCTCTCGTGGCTCCCCTGCAGCAGCTCGGTGGTGCTGACATCCCCAAGGGAGACCCTGATTACCCACCTCACGTCTACGCAGAGGAGGGCAAGTGTGAACGAGTAGAGACCCGCAGTTCTCTCACCTTCTCCGAACATGACCTGTCACCCGACTTGCTGGACTCTTTGGGGCCAAAGCCTGCTCCACTTGAAGAAATATATTCTGAGTCAGGTTTTCATTTCTTAAAAACTGCATATTTTGGTGAATTGGAATAACTCATGAAGGGGAAGTCACTATTCTAGAATGTTTCTTCCTTACTTCCTTTAAAAAAAATTACCTTCTAGTTCTTGAATGAGGTTCAACTGAGTCTGGATTAAATGCTTGGACATTTGCAGACCAGACATCTTGAACCAAAGTGAAACAGCAGGTTATACTTTTTAAAAATTCGATTTGTCAGGCAGATTTTCTAGAGAAACTTGAATTGTGTAATTCCTTGCTTCAGCTCATGGAAGCAGCTCATGGCTGCTCATAGCCCAACTCCGAGGGTAAATAAAATATAATCCACTGATTACCCCCAGCTATTTGGGAAAAACTGGGGAAACAGATTTTTTTAAGTGCTTATTTAAATTTCTATAATTATGATTCTGCTTCAGTTTAAGTGAAAAATAAATGTTTTCTAGAACATTTGTGATCAGTATTTTTAGTGATTTTTTTAAAAAAACATAAATATTAATCCCATTGTACTTTTTGAGTAGATAAATAGATAAATATTTTATCATGAGAGAAATGATTATACTTAAAATTTATGAGCAGTACATACTATAAAAACCAAACTGATATAATTTAACTTGCATGTATTATGTAAGTAAAATAACTTAGGAGCCTTTGAGTGAATAAATTCTGATTAAATTTTATCTATGCACAAAACCACAAACTTTAATTGATTTCTACATGTCCACCTACCGCTAGTGTAAATTGTGGGGGAGGGGATAGTTTCCTTTAAATATCTAAAAACATGTAAATAGTAGGACATGTGCCCTATATATACTCAGTTTTCTTGTCTGAGTAATAGATAAGAAACTGGTTAAGCAGAATTTTAAATGCTACCAGGACACTTTAATGTATATATTAGATATCTAAAAGCCTGTGGCAAATTCTACAAAATTTATATAATTAATGAGCATAGTCTTTTGTTAGTCCCCTCTTGAAGCTGAGGGATAAATCAGGAGAAGCACATTTATGTCAAATCAGTGAAATGCTATATTAAACCTAAGTTTTAGCTGACGCAAGCTTAAAACTTTCCCTTTCTTTTTAAAGAAGCTGTGCAAATGCTTACTTTAAAGAGATCTCAAGAGTTTGTACATAGTTATTTCATGTATCACCTAGTGCTTTGAGTAACTGAAAAAGAAGAGAAACCATCTCCAAAGCACTGGAAAGTCTAAAGCTGACTCACAGTTGTGTAGAACAGCTATGCTAATGCTGGAATGATTCCGAGGAGAGTATAGGACATTTTCTGGGTAATTCAGGATAACAGTAATATCTTAGGACAGTATACTTTTTGAGTCTGAATGGTTGCTAAGGATCAGTAGGTGGTCACTGGACCTTCCTGGATCTGAGGCAAGGGACAGAAAACTATGGCCATGGGGTAGATGTGGCCCACCGTCTGTTTTTGTAAATAAAGTTTTATTGGCACACAGCTGTGCTCATATGTTGTTTAAGGGCGTCCATGACCCCTTTGTGCTGCCATAGCAGCGCTGAGTAGTCACGACGGAGACGTATGGCTCACAAAGCCCAATACATTTACTTCCTGGCCTTTTAAAGAAAAAAAGTATGCTGACCCCCTTGTCTAAGGCATTCTTTTTGGGAACCCCACATTGTAACAAACGTATTAAGATATATCCATACTCTGTGTTAAAAACAAATACATTGCCATACAATTAAGGAAGGTTTTAGATAACTTTGCTTTTGGCTCTGGGTAACTTGGCTCATTTACTAATGGTTATGAAATCTTGGCAATTGTGCGTATTTGTGAATTCTTGCATCATGAGGCTCTCTCCAGCTAATTGTTCTCAAAAGTAATAAAATACTCATGAAAAATTCATGAATCCCAAATTTAACAGTTAGCAAGAACAAAATGTTATATTTTGTAGGTATTTAATTAGACATGTATTAATTTTGATTTTGCTGCTTTCTTTGTGTATTTTGAATCCTATATATATGTTTTCGTAGGTCTCAAGCCTTTGGGATATATTGTCCAGTGGAGACACTGGCCCTGTTGGCATTTTATGAAGCATGCCTGGCATGTAATACTTTGACTCTTCCCTTTAGATGCCAGACTATATTATATATTATCACCTGTCCCAACTGATGTCTGCAGGGAACATCCTTGGATGTTGGCCGGTTCTCCCCACAAGTTCATTTTCAAGTCTATCTACATGCTTAGAAAGGTTTCCATTAGAAACATCAGCACCAGGAGGTTTTGGAAAAACATGTTAGCCTCCAGTGGAATTTATGAACACTCATGAACTAAACGAACTCTTACTGATGGCAACGAAAAAGGCAGTAAAACAGAAATAGTAAATATTTTCCTAGAAAATGTGATTTTATTAAGAACATTAGCCTCCAAATCACTTAGCAATCTACAGATAGCTGTCATCTCATAAGTTAAATATTTATTTTGCATTTCATCAATTTTGGGTTTCCATTTATATTAATGGTCTCATTGGCTTTATGGAGTTTTTCATCAGAGGAGTTTGTTTTGCTTACTTTTATGATTTACTGAACACAGAAGCTATCTTGGTTGTTCAAAACTTTCCCAAGTGAGGGACTTCCCTGGTGGCCCAGTGGTAAAGAATCTACCTTCCAATGCAGGGGATGCAGGTTCGATCCCTGGTTGGGGAACTAAGATCCCACATGCCGCGGGGCAACCAAGCCCATGCACCACAACTAGAGAGAAAGAAGCCTGTGCACCGCAGCGGAGATCCCGCATGCCGCGACTAAGACCCAATGCCTCCAAAAATAAATAAAATAAATAAGTATTAAAAAAAAAAAACTTTCCCAAGTGAAACACTAACCCAGGAAATCTTACTTTATGTACTTGTAAAGTAGGCATAACAACAGTCCCCTCAAAGATGGCATGTGAGCAGAAGACTGCAGACCTTGGGTAGTCATTGTCTCTCCTGAAATGTGTGTGTCAGAGGCCAAACAAATCTGCCATCAGGAAGAAGGAAGAGGAGAAAGAATGCTGGAGATATAAAAACAGGAAAGACTTGTCCTTTCATTTTTCCCAGCATGAGGACACTGGTGTTGGAATGGCTGCAGCAACTGCTAATTGTCTCAATATCTGTCACCTCTCCTTCCTCAATAAAAGAACCCTGAATTTTTGGCCAGCGAGAATGGGAATGACATTTCCCACCCTCCCTTCCAGCCAGGTTGGCCATGTGACTACGTTCTGGCCAATGGAAGGCAACTTCCAGGAAGTATCCTTGAAGCATGGACATGTAGACTCATCTCTTCCCCCTCTTCTGTTCTACTGGCTGGAATGAGAATGTGATGGCTGGCACAGGAGCAGCCATCCTGGACATTGTCGTGAGAGCTGATGCATGGTACACCAACAGGATAGAAGGGGTGGAGGTCTCTGACACGGGGGAGCCCTACCGGACCCAACCCAGGACTACCTTACTCTGGACTCAAACTGCAAGAGAATTAAATATGTCTTGTTCAAGGCAATGCTATTTTGGATTTTCTGTCACTCATGGCCAAATCTAATCTTAACTGATACAAAATATAGGACCAAGATAAGCAAGCTGTAAGTAGCAGAAGTGAAACTTGGGGCATTGGCTTATGGATGTGGTCGGGGGCAGGGACTCAGGTAGTGGGGGCTAGAGGACAGGTGACCCATATTGTGCAGAAACAAAGCATTTGCTAACAACTCTCCTCTGTTGTTTTCTGAAAAGCAGCCCTTGCTCTGAACAAGGATTGAGGAAGGAAATGGTAGGGGAAATTCATAATGTAGAAATGCTTTAGCTGCTTCTCACTGCTTATAGCAAAGTCCCACAAAAGAGATGGACATGGGTGCCTGCTGGCCAGGGCGGGTGTGGCATGAAAGGTAAGGCAGCTGTGCTCATGGAGACCATCTCTGCCTGAAGCCCGCAATCTAAATTGACTGAGAACTGGGTAATTTGGAGGCTTGCAGCGTTGAAAAAAGCAACCGCTGCATCTCTCAGATGACATCGATCATTGGAAAGATTCTGTGCAAAGCAGTGCACTTAGTGGAAAATAAAACTAGTGCCCCATCCTACCAATTTGTAAGCCTTGTGGCAAAAGTCACTTTAAGGATGTTGCCTTCCTACCCAGGCCTGTTGCTTCAGGTGACTCAAGGTGGGCGGTACCATTGAGGTGGGCGGTACCTTGAGGTGGGCGGTGCCACTGTGCTGAGGGACAGGAGACGTTGGCCAAGCGAGCATGGAGGCCAACCAGGACAGGCCGGACGCTCCAGGATTATAAACTATGTCTCAACAGAGAGAAACAAATAGATCAGAAATCTTTACGTTTCTGAAAAAATGCTTTGACAAAGAAACCACAGCCCGGTCTGAAAAAGCCTGTGATTGTTCAACCCCAAAGCAATCCCTGAAAACAAGGAGCAAGCTGTGAAAACCATGCAGGTCCCAGGAAGGGCATCCCCTCCAGTACCCACAGCCAGTCAGCTGTGGCAGGGGAGACAACAGCAAGCACACAGGTAGGGGCCGGGGGCGGTGACGGCTGCAGAGGTGTCTTCACTGTTCCTGCCTCCCAGGATTTGCTCATGTGTATGGATCAATGATAATTGTGTTTATTAGTTTGCTTTTCTCCAAATGGGCATTTTTATAGCAGGCGTCTTACTATTCTTACTTATCTACCTTATGTTGGGTGTATTGGGAACCAGGAACTTATTATTTAGTTTGTAGGTTGTAAAACCATGAAGAACCTCATCCATATCTGTTGGAGAGGACTGTGCTTTACCCTGGGATCTTGGGTTGTGAGCCAGATGCAGTAATTGGGTGGGGCTTTGCACTTGGTTCCCTTGGGGCGTGTGTGGGAGGGGTTCTGTGTGTAGCAGAAGGGCGAGCACAGATATGTGGGCGGCCAAAGCATGGACGGCTGCGGAGACTACTGTCCCCCAACCCCCATTGTCCCTTCTTTCCTTCCTCCCCAAGTTTGAGCAAGGGCTACAGCTTCCTCAAATGAAAATG